TTCGAAATTCACTTATAGACTAAGCAGTTGTTCTCTGTAACAAAACATTAATTAGAAAGTTGTTTATATGACATGTTTTTATGTTGAGCATGTGTCCAACGGTAATAATAATTCTAATAAAGGAAATTTAAGATTATAACGTTCCGATTTTAACATTCTTTTCATTCTAATTTAATTAATTTATTTTTCATGCGCAGTGATGACTTCTGGGACAAAAATATCCTGTAATACAAGTAAAGTGTATTAAAATAATTAAATAATTATTAATTAATCGATAGAAGTATCAATTATTGTTTAAAAGTACGAGATATATTTTCGAAGTACCTTCCTCTTCGAAATTCATTTATAGACTGAGCCGTTGTTCTCTAAAACAAAACATTAATTAGAAAGTTGTTTATATGACTTTTTGTAAGTTGAGCATGTGCACGGTAAAAATAATATATATTCTAATTATAATTATAAAATAATTCTATATGATAACTTATTTATTAAATAAATCAAAAATACTGAAGATATTGAAATTGGCAAATTGGTAACTAATCGATAATGCAGATCATTTCCGCGAATTTTTTATTTATGGATGTAATTTATGGTAGCATGCTTTAGAGAGATCTCAATTTTTTTATATATAACTATTACATAGTGTCTACAATATCTTTTTTTTATTCATTATTGTTAGAATATTTATAAGTTACGAGTATATTTAATAGATAAATAGAATTGTTATTTGATTTATTTAATAAATAAATTATCATATGGAATTTAACTAACGTGATTGTAGAATAAAGACGAGCTTGTACGTGTGCCGGTTGAGCTTGTGTGCGTGATGAATTTTTTGATTGGCCATTTCAGATCCGAAATAATAAATCAGCTAATTACCCAATGAAACGACAGCGATCTTTCGCCAACGTACCGCGAAGGAGAAGTGACCACCATTTTGAATTTGTCGTCTATAGTAGTTGCAGCAGATTTGGTTGTCCGTCGATATCAGGTAATTAAAAGATATTTTCTAACGTTTACACCTTCAAATTATATATGAAACGATAACTAAAAGCAAGATTTTTATATGTGAGTGTTTTCAAAACTGAAAAATACAAATTTCGAAAGATATTCGTGAAAATATAATCGTCGACATTTCTCGGCTTCCCGCCATATCTCACCAAGGCCAACTTAAAATATTTCTTCTAATTCTTATCTTTTTTTTCATGGTATCAATACTTTTTATCATCTCTAATGATTCTCCAATTAATTATTTTTCATAATTATTTCTTCAAAAATCGTATATCATAATAAATTTGATTTCTGTCACATACACATACATATAGACATATATACATAAGTATAGGTAACTCGTACACGTACACTCATATATTTGATTTTCTTTATATTTTACTAATGCAATTTTATTTCTTACTTATTTTAGTTTTCCAAGCGKTGGGAGAATCCAATACGAATACCTTTTTCATCGAGGTAATGACTAAACTATCGAGGTAAGTCTATCTCTTTATTTGAAAGCAAAGAAAAAGTGTAACAGAATGAGTTTGAAATAGAAAGAGAAAACGAGAAAGAAAGAAAAAGAATACAAACATTCGAATTCCAGGTAGTCAAATGTGTTCATATATTTCTAGGAAATTCTCCAGACGAAAATAAAAAAGAAACAGCTGAAAACAAAAGAAAAACAGTCGAGCATCGAGAACCCGAGTACCCCCGAACACCGAGTACCGAGTACCCGAGTACCGAGTACCCGAGTACCCCCGAACACCGAGTACCGAGTACCCGAGTTCCGAGTACCCGAGTATCCCCGAACACCGGGTACCGAGTACCGAGTAACGAACGTTCGACACTTTCAAGGATAAATCGTAACATCTATCTCTTTCCCCTTCCGTCCGTCGACAGGTAAAGACTGGCAACAGTAACTAGGCATTAAATTATTTAATTATTTTATTTCTAACCTTATCGTTTTGATTTTAATAGTTTAAAAAATTTTTCATTGCATAGAATACTATAAAAACTGGTTTATTTTTTATGTTACTCTTTATTGAATTTGCTGATACAATTACTGTTTTATTTAAACAAATTTCAAGAGTTTTAATGAATATTTTTACTAACATTGCATACTTGGTATGTGTAATTTAGTGTGCAAATAATTGCATACTTTGATAAATTCCACAAATATTTAATTACTTTAACTTTTAATTATGTCAATTCTCATAGATTATTAAATTATTTCTTTCTATTTACCATTGAATATTTTATGAAAAATATTCAACGGTTTTAATGTGTGCCCTGCCTTCATAAATGATTAACAGGAAATATTTTAAAATAATCCTTAGTATGTTTCAGCTTTTTAGACTTTTTATTTAATTTTATTTTATACATCGTCATCCTAAGGGTAGGATACCCATCCTGCAGTCATCAATCAAGATTAAAAGTTAGTATATTTTTCTATCATACATTTCTATGATAATATCAATGGGTTTTTATTACGACAATGACATTAATTGTTCTTTTTCTTTTTCAGAACATTGCAATCGTGCGTGTAGGCAATGAAATACTCGTGTGTTGTATCGTGTTAAAATAAAATATGAAAATGTCGACAAGTAGATTCAGTGTTGATCGTCGCATGTTAAAGTTTCGTTTGCTCGGTTAAGAAACTCGCAAGTTTCTTTTATTCGGTTTAAAAGTGTGTTCATCGTCATCCTAAGGGTAGGATACTCATCGTGCATTCGTCGATAGTGATTTAAAGTGAGTATATTTTTTGTATTAAATAATACCTCAACAATTTTAATGCTTTTCTGTAATAGTAATGATNTGGACATATAGAATTTGGTCAACAAAATCAGAAACCAGGTAGTAATAACCAACGATTTGAAGATTTGACTCAGCAGTCTGACGATTTAACACAACAATCGGGCAAATTGGATGATTTAATTCAACATACTTTTGGACATTCAGTAAATGGGCAACAAAGACAACAATTCGACTATCATACATATCCTTACAGACATAATCAACAATCTATGCCTGATCTTGAAAAACAATCAGATAATAACGCGAATAAACCTTTGTATTCACTGACACCTGCACCAAAACCAAAGTGGAGACAAAGATATAGATTATCAAGTCAAACCTCTATTGATAGCACGGAAAATCCAAGTAATATTCATTTTCATCATTCGAGTGATATTAACGATCAAACTATTTCACATCAAAATCAATTATCAGATGGGTCAAGTTCTCCTCAAGAAGTTGGAAGTAATAACGATTTTTATTCCATTAATCATCAATCTTCAAATCAGCAAGAAGACTCAAGACAGCTAAATACTCAAAATGTTGTTGAAAATGTAAGTCAACAACCAAAGTCTTCTAATAAAGGTTTCACGAAAGGTGGACATAGATCTAGACATATTTATCGACCATCAACTCCTAGTCCATATTCAGTTAGTAATAGTGTAACTCAATCTCAATTAAATCAAGATTTGAATTTAGAAGAAGTATTTGAGAAGAAAAAAAATCAAAACAACTATCAGGAGAATTTACCTTCTCAGAACAGTAAGCCAGAATCTAAAATAGACCCACGTATTTTAGAAGCATATGGTGGTGGTCCATATGATGCTAATCACAGTGATGACATTTTTAATCATGTAACACAAAATCCTGATGTTACATTACCTCCTCATTCAGATGGTATAGATCCATGGGATATTAGAGAGAAACCTAGAGAAGTAATTCCTTTGCCGCCAACTACTACGATAAAAACACCAGAAGTAACAGAAAAAGTAGAAACCGATGTTCCTCCAACATTCTGGACAAGACTTGGTCATAAATTTACAACAACTTTTGATAAAGCAAAAGAGAAAGCTAAAGATCTTTTTGGTTGAATATAATTATTAAATTAAATTAATTTAAAATTTTTATCTTATAAAAAGAATTAAACATACACAATTTATTTTCCACAGATAATAATATACTTGATTTGTATATAATTTTATGTAGTATACACTTATATTTATGTAGTATACATATAAATTTATAGTATGTACACTATAAATTTATGTAGTATACACTTTTTTACAACATAATGTAACTCAAATAATTATATTTTATAGCTTAGTATTAGTAAACTATAAAACATAATGTGTTAATATAGATGCACTATCTTGTAATTTAATTTCACTTATTATTAATAATAACCTAGATATAAGATTGCTTTCCAAGTAAGAAGTCATAAGCTTTTAATAAAAAATAAATATTAATATTACACATATAAATCTTTATTTACCTCTGGTAGATTCGTGAAATATTTAACAAAGCTGACTTGGGATGATGGATCTAAAATATTTAATTATATATATATATATTATAAAAGAATAAATGATATGTTAAAGAGTAAAAGTTATTTACCTATATTAAATTGCTGATTTGGTTGTACAGCCATTATTAATATAGAAATAATACGTTTAATATTTAACAAACAAATACAAGTAATAGAAAATTAAATAATTGCAAACATAAGCGTTTCACAATCAATTGTACAGTATAACTCCACCAACGTATGTAATATTTGAGTATAAAAGATCTTTCATTTTCCCGCGAAAATTTCATACAAGTAATAAAATAAAAAGAAAAGTTTCTAGAATGTAAAAAATAAATGTTTCTAAAATTCTACTCAACTGATCTAGATCCTAATTGTAAGATACGTTGGCAATTGTCGTGGGTTAATAATTTTTGATGTTGGTAACATATTACAATAGCCGCACCATCTGATGCTAAGTATTAATAATATAAACATATTAACAAAGCATAATAGTAATGAGCCACGTGTGTTTGTTATTAATTTAAAAAAAATCAAATTATATATGTAATTGTGATCTGTAAAATATATCATAACAATATAAATATAATTATATGATTTTGACTTGTACAAATTCAATTTGAAACAAACAAAAACAATGAGTTTCTGTGCATATGATTCGGATATTGTTATATGCAACAATGATCATTTTATCATGTATAATATTAATGATAACTTAATAAATAATATAGAATTACCTCATGTGGAATGTGATAAGATAGGTAATATACATAATAATGTAGATATTGAATCATATCATATGATAATAAGTACAACATTTTCTAATGATGGCAAATATTTGTTGATATGCACAAATCGTAAACAATTGTGTTTATACGATCGAAAAAGTAAAGAACTTATATCGAATAGAATATTACCTAGAGCAGCAAGTAAAGTTATATTTTCTCCAAACAATGATATAATTGTTGCCGATAAAGCTGGAGACGCTTATCTTTTTTCTACAACAAATCCAGTAGAAAATGGAACTTTACTTTTGGGACATTTATCTATGCTATTAGATATACTTGTAACTGAAGACGGAAAGTATATTTTAACGACTGATAGAGATGAAAAGATTCGTGTATCAATGTTTCCACATTCATATAACATTGTATCATATTGTCTTGGACATAGTAAATTTGTGACAAATATTTGTGAACTACCTCATAAAAAAGATATTTTAATATCATCAGGAGGAGATGGAACTCTTAAATTTTGGGATTATGTATGTGGAAATGAACTATTGACTGTTAATTTTAGTGAAAAAATTCCTAAATATAATATTGATAATTTTAATGAAATTCTTAAAACTAATCATGAAGAACATGTAAGTGTGTTACCAGTAAAACATCTAAAGGCTACGAAACTTAATAAATTATCGTCCTTAGTTGTTATTAGTTTTTATAGTAGTAATGTATTACTAGTATATATTGTTGATGAAACAGTGGATTCACATTTAACTGCCACTTGGAGTGAAAACATAATAATGGAAGATGAACCTTTAGATTGTTTTTTAAAAAATAATCAATTGTGGATTTTAACTAATTTAGAAGTAATCGTATATATTTTAGACAATAATCATTTTGTATTAGATTCAACTACAAATAATACATTAAAAGAATTAAATAAAGCTTGGATGTCATTGAATAATAATACAAATAGGAAAAATTTATTTCCTAGTTTGTACAAAAGAAAATATGATAATGTACAACAGTATTTAGAAAGAAAAAAATTACGTCTACCAAGTACTTTGGAATAAGGATTTTCAGTCAATAAAAAAAATAAAAATCATGATTAGCGTACAATATCATATATTATAAATTTTAATCCCTTATTATATTGGTTAATAAAATCATAATACAAGTTTACATTCATTTTGTATATCAAACAAAATATATTGATGATGAGTTGTTAATCATAATTAATTTATTTTCACTATGCGAAATCCTATGAAAATGTATATATTGTCAAGATAAAATAAAGCTATTTTATTAATTTGTTTGTATATAATTCCTTAAATTACAATAGATATATTGATTTTTTTTATACTGGTTTATAATCTAACTTTGATTCAAGTTTCTTATTATCTGAAACTTTTCTTACAGCTTTCATAAAATCTTCTTGCACAACATATTCTCTCTCCAATCTTATAGCAAATAATCCAGCTTCTGTACAAACATTTCTTAAATCTGCTCCATTAAATCCATCTGATAGTTTGACTACTGCTTCATAATCTATATTAAATATTAGTCAATTATTTCTAGATCATGTAGACTATGTATATATGCATTATAGATTATATATTAATATATTTACCAATGTCACCATGCTTAGCAATTGGACCTGCATGAATTTTCAAAATTTCAAGTCGTGCTTGTTCATTAGGTAATGGTATTTCAATCTTTCTATCTAAACGACCGGGTCTTAACAAAGCAGGATCCAGAGTATCAGGTCTATTTGTTGCCATTATCATTTTAACTTGACCTAAAGAATCGAAACCATCCATTTGATTTAATAATTCCATTAAAGTTCTTTGAATTTCTCTATCTGCACTAGTTCCTTCAGAAAATCTTCGTCCACCTGCATACAATAAAATTAGTAGTAATATTATAAAATATTTCTTTTATATAAGATGATTTAATATTTTATTATATTTATAATATAATTATTTTACCTATAGCATCAATTTCATCCATAAATATAATACAAGGTTGATGATCACGAGCATAATTAAACATTTCTCTGATTAATCGTGCTGATTCTCCAATATATTTATCAACAATAGCACTTGATACAACTTTTAGGAAATTCGCATCTAACTGACTAGCAACTGCTCTTGCCAATAATGTTTTGCCAGTACCAGGTGGACCATACAATAAACATCCTTTAGGTGGAGTAATGCCAACTCTTTGAAACAGTTCTGGATTTAATAAAGGTAGTTCTATAACTTCTCGTAATTCACGTATTTGTTCACTTAAACCACCAATAGCTGAATATGTAACATCACCAGGGTCTTCATGGGACATATTGTAAACTAATGGATCAACCTAAATGAGGTATAACACAATTAATAATAAGCAGTTCATAAAACTACAGTAAAAATGCATTCAATTATTGCATATCAAATTTGTTTACCTCACGTGGTAAATAACGCATTATAGTAAGGGTTGTCATGTCAAGAGCAACTCTGGTTCCAGATTTTAATTTATTTTTATCAAGTTGACGTCTACAACCAACAACATAGCGAGGACCATTTGTTGCTTTTACTATAACTGAAATAACACACATTACATGTTTTTTTTATATGAATTTATAAATATTCTGTCAAATGTATTTAAATTGACAATATTTGTAATACTGATTACTAAAATATTTGACTTACATTTCTCTTCTGTAAGTTGCTTAAGAACCTCGCCAACAATCTGTATAAAGTTTATGTTAATAATTAAAATAAATATATTAAGAAATTTTCTTATTTACAATAAGAAAATTTATTTACCTGACCAACACTTTGGAGAGCCTTTAAATCATTTTCTGACTTGTCATATTGTTTGGTCAAATCTTTTAAGTGTTCTCTCACTGTAAATATGAAAAATATATACATGTATATTAAAAATCCATAAATTATCATTTTATATTTTAAAATAATAATAATAAAATCAAATATGACAAAGAATTACAATAGAAAAATGAGGTTAGGTTTTTATAATTTTTGGACAAGATAGACTATTTTTAAAATAATAAATATATAAATATATATATATCTTACTTTCTTTTAATCGTGATTCTACTTCCTTATGTTCCAGAAGTTTTTTTCGATAATTTTGAAGAACTTTTTCTCTTACAGAATCCATGTTGACCGCCATTTTTTACTTATTTTGCTGTATAACTGTCACGGAGAAAGTTTTTAGGTAGATTCATGAAGAAGTGACTATATTCACTCATTTTATTTTCGATTGTGCTTCCACCTATAGTTTATAACTTGAATCAAATATAAAGTGACATTTAAACACTGTTCTCACATAAATCATTTAAATAATTGTGAGACATTTTAAATTAATAGTTTGCAATCATAAATCAGTAATTATTGAAAATCATAAACATATAATATATAGATTACGTTTTTTTCTATGTTCTTTACAGAGTTAAAAATGTATCAGAGACGGAATTAAGTTTTGCTGATTGGTGGATTATATTATTGTACAGTAGAAAATACATGTCAGTAACATAAACAAATGTATTTTTTTCGGGATCGATGCAATCATTTTTATTACAAATATTAAAGAAATATAAACACGTGAAATTGCATGGAATGAAATTTTCAAGAAATTCAATAATTCTTTATTAGTTATGCAAAAAGTAAGAGAAATTAAAACTTTGTGTTTTATTTGTTATTAGTTTATACAAATTAATAACAAATAAAACTCAAGATCTATAATATCATTTAAATTTTGTATAATTTGCAGTAATATATTTTAAGCCAAGTAAGCTGTTTTTTATTTTGTTAAATAAAGAGTAATAGCCAAGTGTGAAATTAATGAAAGATATTAATATAGACATTTAATTTATAATATCTTTATAATATTTTTTTTCACAATGTTATATCAAATAACAAAAAATTGATTTTTCTTTTAATAAATATACTATAGGCTGAGTGTCATTCAATAGTTTATTGAAGACATTTGCATTAATCTTACTTGGCTATATCCTAAGTATTGATACCTCTTTATTAAAATACAGAGAAATATTCAACGATGAACAAAAATGTTGGATTAATTTAAAACCAACAGAGAGACTAAAATGGATATATCAGAAAAAAGGAAAAGAAGAACCAGTTTCATAAATTGATCCTGATGTAGTTTTAATAACATCTGACGGATTGAAAAGTCTTGGGTGTCAATAAAAAGATGACAATATTAATTGTCACCACTTCAATACTATTAATGTAAATGTTTTACAAATACTTTTGAAAATTGAAACTATATTAGACTATCAATTGTTGCACAACAGTTGTTTGCTTTAGTGGATATCAGAGTTTTCAGGAAAATGGAAAAAATTGAATATCGTGCTGTGATTAAATACTTGCATTTAAAAGGCAACACACCTACGCAAATTAAAGCCGAATTAAATGCAGTTTATGGGGAGTGGGCACCATCATTTGCCACAGTAAAAAGATGGACAGCTGAGTTTAAACGTGGTCGTACTAGTTTAGCTGACGATGAACGTTCAGGACGACCAACAACTGCGACAACCAGTGAGAACATTGAAAAAATACATCAAATGATACTTTATGATTGTAAAATTAAAATGAGAGAGATTACAAAGGCTATAGGCATATCTAAGGAACGTGCCTATCATATATTGTATGAAGAATTGAATATGAGAAAGTTGGCTGCACAATGGGTACCACGTATGCTCACTTTGGATCAAAAATGTGCTCGAATAAACATTTGCAAAGCTCTATTAGAACGATTCAAGCAAGATGAAAAGGATTTTTTGCGTCGATTCATAACAGTAGATGTAACTTGGATCCACTATTACATTCATGAGAAGGAAGAACAGTCAAAACAATGGACTGAGGATGGTGAACCTAATCCAAAAAAGGCGAAGATACACTCAACAACTGAAAAGATAATGGCAACTATTTTTTGGGATAGTTGTGGTATTTTGTTCATTGACTATCTTGAAAATGGTAAAACAATTACAGGAAACTACTATGCATCATTACTTGATCAGCTGAAAAGAGAAATTGCACAAAAAAGACCACATTTAAACAAGAAAAAAGTATTGTTCCATCAGGACAGTGGACTGTTTCAAACTTCGACAGTCGCCATGGCTAAAATTAATGAATTGCAGTTTGATTTAATTGAACACCCTCCGTATTCACCAGATCTAGCCCCCGGTGACTTTTTTCTGTTACCTAAATTGAAAGTTTGGTTTGGAGGACAGAGATTTTCATCGAGTGAGGAAGTCATAGCATCAATAGATTCTTATTTTGCAGAACAAGATACTAATTACTATTTAGATGGGTTAAAATTATTGGAGCATCGCTGGACTAAGTGTATCGAGTTAAAAGGAGACTATGTTGAAAAAACATAGAGACTATGTGAATTTGATTAAAAAAATGTTGTTTTACGTAGGCATAAAACTTTTTAATCTACCCTCGTATTGTTCGTTTTTAATTTAAATGATGATGTAGAATATAAAATATAATTGACTAAGTAAGGTTCAAAAGAAGCTTTAACTAAATAATGTTTAATATATTATGTTTACAAAATAAAGGAAATATTTAATAGAAAGTATTATACTTTTTTTTTTTTAATTTAATTATACTTAAACAAATCAATAAACATTTTGAAAATTCTAATAGCAGACCACAATTGGCGGATAGTTGTATTAAAAATTGATTCAATCATTTTAAAGTCAATACTTGGGGTTTTTTTTACGTTGCTAATTACGAATCTAATTCGAGCTGTATATTCGCTATTTTAAATTAATAAAAAAAAATCTTTTTACGTGGTCAAAGTTTGAAATAAAAAATATATAAAGTTTTAAGGTCATATAATCTTTTTTTATTTGAAAACAAATATCAAAAAATAATTAATTTTCAGTCTTCTATAATAAATTTCCTTAAAACTAAGGAGATAACAGTATAATTAATATCTTTTTTTAGTTAAATATAATATTTTTTTATTATATTTAATCTCATCGACAACATTAAGACCGAATGCAGCTGCTTGTTCACGTATACAATTCTCTTCTTCTTTCGTTAATCCTTCAGGAAATGGTTGACTTGATAAATAATTATCCTCAGTAAAAACTTTACACATTTCATGTGCTGCTTTTTGAAACTCAACTTCACATTTCTCTTTTCCAACAATATTCAAACAATTAGACCATAATTGTTTTTCTATTTGATAATACTGATTGCACTTTTCATTTGCCTATTAATTTTGGATGAAAATAAAATTGAGATGTGACAGATAAAATTTTTAAAATACAACAAGAAAAAGTATTAAACGATGATTATAAAATAAAATACTAACCAAACAAAGTTCTCTGTAAATATTTTTATCTTTTGGTTCCATCTTATATGCGAATTCCAACTCTTTTAAGCCTCTTGTATATTCTCCTATTTTGATCAGTGCCTTACCATGACTAAAATATAATTTCATTTAATTTCTGATCTAAATTACTTGTAAAACATTATTTATGAAAAACATACTTAAAGTGAGTTTTAACAGTAGGTGTAGGAACCTTTGTACAAGCCATGCATGCACGACGTGGCATATCAATTTTATTAAAACATATTGCAAGATTATTGTAAGCTCTGGAAAGTATCATTTTAACTTCTTTCTCTTCGTTATCATCTTTTAATTCAGCATTTTCCAACAAACGTATTGCTTTTTCATATCTGTAAAAATAAATAAAAATAATAATCAAATTTGTACATATAAATCAAATATAAATATTATATTTTAAAGTATTAAATTTCTTTACTGTCGTATGGAAGTTTTGTAAGCCATTTTATTAAAATGATATTTTGCTGAATTAAGCAAATCATTAACACAATTAATAATATTAGGAAGTAATTTTTTTTCATCCACGTTTAAATTAATATAAGTATCTGCTGATCCAATGTTGAGGAAATCAACTAAATGAACAATAAACATAACTTCTGTATTTGGTAAAATTCGAGGTGGACAACCTAACTGGCCATATGCAAGATCAGGATGAATAATAAAAATAGAAATCTCATGTTTTTCCATAGTAGTTATTGCTAATTCTAATCCAGGAATTAAATAGCCATGATCAAGACGAAGAGTTTTTGGTTTTCCTTGTGCAAATGTCGAATCAAAAGGTTCATCGCTATATTCAAAGTAACTTATATATTTAATTGTGACCTGAGAATTGTATGATACCGTTGCACCAACTCCTTTTCTTTTAATCAATTTCATAATCTATATATATATATTAACAACAATTTCATTTTAATATTTGTAATATTTTCTTTATGTAAAAATTTGTATTATTCATTACAGTATACCTTTCCATCTTCTGTTATCGGTGTCATTTTAGATTTCAATTTCGCAAAGCTTATTCCAATCACATTGGTGATTGCACTTTCGTAATCATTGGTCTCTTCATTTTCAAAATTATCTATATTAAGCATATCAACTATTTCATCGTTTGACAAGAATACATTTGAGTTATATAAACAATTATCTTCTTCTTCTTTCTGTATATATTCATCTCCAATTTCAAAAGTAAAACCTTCTGGAGATAGTAAGTCACTAAAAACAAAGACAATTATTGTTATTTTAAGTTTTATTAATACATATATTTAATTAAATATATTTTATATTACTTCAATGTAATTCCATCGAGATCCGAGAGATCATTCAAAGGCATGGCCATTTTGAATTATCTCTAATAAATTTCTTCTTATATTATTTGAAATTAATACTTATTATTATCTTAGAAATTACTAAAAAAAAAAAAGTAAGATCGACGAACAAATTAATATATAAAATATGGTTCTATAGTATCACGTACTAATAAATCACAATTAAAATAAAATAGAAGAGACTTTTATGAACAAACAGCGATTGTTGGCAATAATGAGAGATGAAATTTTAAATTTTCATCTGTCCAAAATTAAACAAGAATCGAAAGAAAAAACATTTGATCTTCTCACTAAATTCCCTCTTTTATGTTCTTCCCTAGTGGTTAGAAACACGAACTGTCTTCTAGGGTAGAGGGCGCGGTTATCTCGCTTACGGGGTTAGATGTAGTCAGAGACATGAAAAAATGAGAATTTTCAATAATTTTTGTTTGCTAGTAAATCATTTTATTTTATAAAAGTAATAATATGTATAAGTAATTATCTAAATAAAACGGTTTAACAATAATTCAATAATTCCAACAATGGTTCACTAGCGTATCAATGGCGGTTCACTATACATGTATTAAAATCAAACTCTCTTTGGAATAAAATAAAATGAAAATTGACATTAAAAAGATTCTCGTTTGTATGTTGTACCTGTAAAAGTATAAAAATTATTAAAAAACATTATAAAATAATTAGTTTCTGTAGATTAAATGGACACAAGGAATCAAGGAAAGGAATAAAAGAAATATGATATTAATTAGGAAGATAAAAGAAACTAATTACAATTATAATATTAATGATAAGCGGTCTTTGGCTAGTTTTTACTTGCAATGGAATGTATAGCATATCAAAATATGATAAACATTATATTGAAAGTAAAATACCATTGCCCGGGTCTAACCACGAGGAGGTAACCGCTTCTGAAGACCCACGAGGGATGTGCATCCTAAAGATGCCCACATCCGAATATAATTGAAAAGAGAGAACCTAACTCTTAGGCCCCATCATAAGAGTACCATCCAAAAAATCTATAAAATTATTATCTTGAATACTCAAAAAAAAACATAATGATAAATGATAAGTACAACCTGAATAGAATTTAAGTACCATCGTTGATCCTATTGAAAATTAACACACCTTAGCATAATTCCAATATATGCATATACAAAGATTACAAGTTATGAATATTTTATATTTAATGATTTTCACAATCTACCTAAAAAATATAGTATAATAAAAATAAATATATATATATATATATATATATATATATATATATATAATATTAGATGATACCTGTAGAAAAAAAGACATTACATGTTACCTGTAAAAATATAATATTTCATTTACTAATAAAAATAATTATTTTATACTACCATATAGTTTACCATAATTTAGTTCTCTTCTGGTCCACATCCCACTCCTCTTGGACAAAATTTTGTAGTTTATCCTGTCAACAAAACCTAAAAAAGAATAGAACTGACATGAAAAAAATACAATTTTTAAGATAAAAATTCCACGATTTTGGACTGATCCATCGTACCTGTAAAAATATAATACTTCATTTACCTATAAAAATAATTATTTTATACTACCATATAGTTTATCATGACTCAGTCCTCTTCTGATTCTTTGTCACCTCTTTTTGGAAAGAATTTTGGCATCGTCTCCATAGTTCATCCTGTTAACAAAATATTAAAAGC